GGCAAGACGAGCGCGGTAAAGTGACGCAATGTGGCCCATCACCAAAGTGGGACGAGCGTCCCCGTTTTCTAAAAAAAGGGAAAGAGAAGAAGAGAAAAGAGAAGAAGAGAAAAGAGAAGAAGAGAAAAGAGAAGAAGAGAAAAGAGAAGAAGAGAAAAGAGAATAAGAGAAAAGGGAAGGGAAATATGGGAAGCCGTTCGTCGCCCGACTATGTCGGCTACGCTCGGCTCAGGACCCAAGGACCGGGCTAAACGAGCGGGCACGACGAGCGGATGACGAGCGTATTAAAAGAACTTAAGGGAGAAGAGTCGTCCATCATTAGAGGCGGCGGGGAATGGGTATCAAGAAGATACAGATAAACAAATAAACCAGTGAGCAACAATGAGCAAAACAGAAGTCTTTATTCTTCGGCTCTGCTGGCCGGAACATACAAGTAAACTAAGGAACAGTTAACAGAAGGCAGAACAATAAAAGGGATCACTCCAGAAAACCATGACCGGGGGAATGGTGGGCGGAGGATCAGGAACCTCCCCCCTCTGTGCGGCTTCGCTCGTCGTTGATCCCGGTCCATCTTCCTCATGACCCACCCGAGTTCCTCGTCCTTCGAGTAATCCTCCACGTTGAAGGAGGGACAGCCGACCAAAGGAAGGACTTGCCTAAGGTCCTGCACTCCCTGGAAATACCCCTTGGCATAGGCATCATCAGCCAGTTCCGAGAGCCACTCATGGCCGAGCGGAGTCTGTTGCAAGAGTTGCACTACGGAGTCTGTTGCAAGAGTTGCACTCATGGCCGAGCGGAGTTTGTTGCAAGAGTTGCACTACGGAGTCTGTTGCATCATCATCCTTCTCCAGCACAGCCCGCAGCTCGGCTTAAAAAACGTCCCCCCACAGCTCCCCGGCAGTACTCATAAACGACCTTAAAAAATTGTGGCGTCTTCTTAAGTTCCTCAGTATTAAGGACCAAAGTAAGAGCGTCACCGGGCGCGACCTCACCCTCCGGAGTCAGGGTAGAAACGGGGACATGGGCGAAGGAGATCCCATGCTTCTCAGCCAAGGTCACCTTGACAAGAAGATCCTCTTTTTCCTTCTGGGCCTGGGTCAGGGCGGCCTGGAGCTTTTCCTTCTCGGCCAAGGCAACCGCCTCCTTTAGCCGCGCGGCCTCCCGCTCCTTCTTCAGAACCGCCTCAGCTTTTTTCTTGGCCTCGGCAGCATCTCTCTCCCGAGCGGCCTTTGCCTGCAACAGGCTCAGTCCAGCCTACAAGGAAGAGGCATGACATCGTAAAGAGACGAACAACAGATCAAGGATGACAAAAGAAAAAAAGGGAAAAGTAGAAGGGAGAAAGCAAAGGGGATAGAACCGTACCTCAAAGTTCAGCAGCAAAGCATGGTCAATAGCCTCACTCGAGGAGCGGGCCAGAAGCTCCACCCCAGCTTGAAGGGCCATGTCCCTCCAAATTTCAGGAATGGGGCGACCTGGTGCAGACAGCAGAGCACTGGGGGCCTTTGGGTTGGAGGATTCCAAGCGTGGCCTCTTCGGCTTTTGCCTTTATCCTTTTCCCCACCAACTGGGGGGCGACACTAATCGGCCCCACATCCAGGACCGGCATAGTTTCCACAGATCGGGCCTCAGAACCCTGCCCGGTCACGGTAGCAATCAGGTGCTGCTCGATGGCCTCAACGCACCTATCAGCCTGAGACGCAACAGAGTTGGCTTCAGAAGACTGCTCGGCCCCTCGGGCCTTCTCCTGGTCAACTCGTAGCTTGGTAGCCTTCGCCTCACGACGAGCCTTCATGGCTTGACTATCCATCTGATCCTGGGTAAGGGGGACCTGAAACAAAGAAACAAGAGTCTTAGAACCGTGCGGCACGAATCTCAAAGGAACTCACCTCAGGGAATGGATCGTCCGGACCCACAAGATGAACAAAAGTAAATGCTAATCTAGGGATCACGGGCGGTACCTATCCCTGCGTCAGAGAGTGCCTGCCTGCCTGCCTGGATCGTTAGAATTCTTTCAGCTTCTTGACGCCGTCCAGCTTCAGCTTATCAATAGCGCCTCACAGTTCTGATGTCAGCTCCGACGGTGCTATTTTCGGAGGGTATCCGTTCCACCTCACAGGAAGTCGGTCGTCCGAATAGCGAAGGAAGAGGAAACGGTTCTTCCGGTCGTGAATGGAGGTGGGGCGCCCTCGATTAGCTTCCTTTTGGGACGCGCGACCACGCTTAGGAATGCATCGGAGTTTTGTGGGGCGACTTGAAAGAAATGGTGGAAAAGATCCAAATTTGGGGTGAGTCCTCGCAATGTGCAGCAAACAATAAAGGCGGAGATGAGGCGATAAGAGTTCGGCATAAACTAGGCCAGAACGACATTATAGCAACTGAAAAAATCAAAATAGAACTGGTGGAGTGGGAAACACAGTCCAGCCTTCACGGAATCCATATGCACCATGACCATTCCTCAACGTCTTCTGAAGAGGTTGTCCGCACCCTAGAGGCTGTAATAGAACGGTGGAGGGAGGAGAGTCTGCAGTTCCTTCAGGGCCCTCTTAGAGAAGGCCTGGTCGATCACGGTGACATTGGGGATGAGCACAAGGTGCCGATATTGGTCCATGGGCATGCCGAGCTTGAACACCCGAAGGTCATCCCCTTCTTTGGCTTCTTCGTCGGAATCATAATCGGCAGGGTGTTTCGCTTCTGCGTCTGGCTCCGCCGCCACTACCGCGACATTTTCAGGAACGACATCCATACCCAAATCCCCTTCTACGTCCAAAGGGACGGCCTCGTTCGCCACTACATGGCCTACCACCATGGAGGCGCTAGAGTGGCCAGAATTGCTTATCCCCTCCGAGGAACGGGACCTAGAGCCCGCCGCAGAGGAAGAACTGGCAGAAGAGCCGGTGGGGGAACCGGAACCGGTGTCCGATTCAGAGGAAATTTCCATGGAGAAGACCATCCAGGTATTGCGAGGGAAATATGAAGAACGAAATCGAAGGTTAGCTTTAAAGCTGGAAGCGAAGACGAACGCGGAAACCGGGAACACTTGCGGAAGATATCCTGAGATCTCAAGGAAGGATGTAGGGGATTGAAAACCCTAATATTTCCAGCGAACCCGGTATTTATAGGAGGATACGCCCCCCAACAGCCAGCCCACGAGTGACACGTGGAGAGGAGCGTACCCAGAGACACGTGTCGCACTGAGACGGACATGCACGAAATGATTACTTTTGCACCGGAAGTTGAATCGACCGCATAACTTTCACCTAGAGCTCCGTGAAATGCGACCTGAGAAGCAACCGTCACATCACGAGTGAGGACGCCAGTTCAAGGCAGTACGGCGCGACAAATACTTCTTTATGTCCCGCGCACGCTAGGAACATCAGAAGTGGGGGACTTGTGTTGGGTTAATGGCCCAATAAGGGCCGCCCATCAACCCCTAAGGGGCTTCCTACGAACGTCCAATCCAAGGCCCAAGAGGAAGGCCAGATACCAAGGGCCAAAGGACGTATGTATCCCACTGCCAGCGGATATTCGGGCCCAAGGATCAGAAGACGTACGTAGCCCATGACTGGCCCGTATCAAGGCTGAAGGGCCAGGGGACGAACGTAGCCCACTATCACCAGGTAACCTGGCCTGCGGGCCCTGCGGGGTTCATAAGGACGAACGTCCTCGACCTATGACAGGGTACCAAGGGCGGCTCAAGAATGGGCCAAGGATGATCCAAGTACGTAGGGACGAGCGTCCCCTCCGGCATTGCTGAGAAGCCAGTGTCCTAGCAGGAAAGAAGAGCTAAGCCTTGGGGACGAACGTCCCCACCCCGTGGCGGAGAACCGAGATTCTGGCGGGAAGTGCATTTAATGCAGAAGATTTGGTGGTTGGGAGCATGTCGCCCACAACCAGTCACGTCGACGTCTCCAATTACCCCTCGATAGTATAAATAGCAACATTTATTTCACTGTGAATGGTTCGCAATTCAGCACTCTAGCATTCTAGCAATAGTATCAGTTCGTATCATCAGTATTGTACGTTCGGCCCTTCGGCTTGTAATAGTTGGAGTGAGTTAAAGGCAGTTGTTTGGCTATTTCCTGCTTGTTCTTCATTTTCTTGTTCACATCTTCCATTCGAAACTCTCAGGTTACGTGTTGGGCCTGCGGGTTGAGGGAATAAACCTCAACATATAGAATTTGGACCAGGTTCAAAATAAAATCTGGTAATAGTTTGAAGGGAAGGGATTTGGAAACAGAACATCAGTTCAAATTGAATTACTTAAACCGATTTTGTTTGATTCGTACACACGAGTTTTTTTTTCAAAATTTTAACATAACTTATTTTTTGAAGTAATACACTTTTGTGAAGAAAAAGTATCAAAGATTAGCAATGGAATGAATAAAAATTTAGTGAATCAAAGTCTATGATATATTAGGTCTTTGGTTGGCTATTTTTTATCGAGTCTATATTGACACATTTCATGCTCTAGATCCCCATTGATAGTAATTTAAAATCCAAACATAAAATTTCGAAAATGTTTGGTCAAAAATATAAGTACAGTTACTATCAATCACTATAATGTAAAATTAAAAGGTTTTTAAAATTACTAATTTATAAAAGAAATGATGATAAATACATAGCCAACATAAAAGTAATAGGCAAAAGTATGACTTTTTATACTTTATGAGAATGATACTAATTCTAAGGATGGATCATAGTTGTATTCAAATCTACACTATAATAATGACTATATATCGTAACTATAGTACTACCTCCGTCCCGCTATGATTTTCTAATTTTACCTTATTAGTCCGCCCCACTAAGATTGTCCCATACCAAATTTGGTAAAGTTTATGTGACTCTAAATCATTCTTATTTTATTCTTACTTTATCAATTCAATATCAACCACATAAACCACTTTTTATTAATTTGAGTGTCTCTCCCTCTTATCTCAACATAATATTATTGTCCATAATTTATATTATGTAATACGGAGTAATTAAAGAAAAATCGCAAGTAAGTTTTTTTTTTATAGCAAACATTATGCGATAGGAGGATCAAGGACTTGAAGTCTTGAAGATATTCTGTGAAGTACTTCCTCAGGCAAAGTCTGTGTCTGGGTTGGATAGTTTCGAAAAATACAATTTTTTTGAACGATCCGGGAAGCAATCGCTCCAGACAAGTCTTGAGGTATAATTTTTATTAACGATGGGGTAAATTTTTATATTTCTTGTATCCTCAATTGCATTTCCCTGAAATGGGAAAGTGTTACGTAGTGCCATTTTAGTGGATTATACATCGTCCTGAATCCTGATTGTTTGAAACGCACAATGGATAACAAAATCCTTGATTATGCATAAGGGTATTCTAAGGTTATGGCATGAGCACCAAATGTTTGATATTTAGCTTGAGTTTTGCGGCATTGTTTCTCTTAGTAAGTTTTTATGCTAGCATTTTTGGGTGGCTACTCCAAGAATTATTTTTACTCCAAGAGCTGCTTACGAGATGAATTTGCTTTTGTGCAGAGTTCAAAGAATACTTCAATGACCCATTCCGGCAATAATATTATCCTTAACCACAACTTCACTGAAGGGCTGAATTCATGGCACCACAATTGCTGTGAAGCCTTTTTGGTTCCAGCAGGTGTTGAAAGTTATGTTGTTATTACAAACCGCAAGGAATGTTGGCAAGGCTTGGAGCAAGATATTACAAACAGAGTTTCTATAGGATCCACCTATAAAGTTAGTGCTTATGTTGGAGTGTCTGGTGCAATTGGGGTCTCCAGTGATGTCCAGGCTACCCTAAAACTTGAGTATAGAGATTCATCTCCTACCTATGTTTTCATAGGAAGGTATCTGGTACCTCTTATTCTGGGTACCTTTCACTTGGTTATCTAACAAAGTATATTGTGACAATGGAAATCCTGTTCAAATGCAGAAAATCTGTTTCTAAAGATTGTTGGGAAAAACTGGAAGGCACATTTTCACTGTCTAGTAAACCTGACCGGGTTGTATTTTATCTGGAAGGACCTTTACCAGGAGTTGACCTACTCATTAAATCAGTTGTGGTTACCTGTTCTTACTCAATAACATGTGGAGTGAGTAATTTATAATTAATCTTATGTTATCACTGTTTAGATTTGCTTCCGCGCCCCAAGTAAAATTACAGTTTATATTTAATGCTCTTTTTTATAGTGTGTGTCAAACAAGATAGCTATCTTAAACTTAGTCCAATAAACAAACGAAAGTTTGAAATTTAACTTCAATGGAGTTTGGAGTGTATAAAGCTAACTGTGAATCTATGATAGTAAGTTTAGTAGTTAGGACTCTGAGGTGATGAGGTTCAATGCAGCTGTAGATATGATACTCCGTATTTGTTTGATTAACTAATTGCGGTTGTAAAACTTAAAAAATTGTGTTTAAATAAGATTTGAATTTCAAAAAATTAATAAAATAATTTTAAAAAATTAATAAATAGTTGTAAAAACTTAAATAAAAGTATACAAGAAAATGTTAAAAATAAAAAATAATTAAATTTAAAAAAATAAATCAAGTTAAACTCACCTCACCGGAGGTATCAAGCTCCGGCGGAAAATGATTAAATGAGATACGAACTTGTCAACTTCATCTCACAATACCGCAGGTCCGCAACAATTAACGTCAAACACCTCTGACGGCGATTTTACTTTGTTCTAGTGCAAAAAGCTCACCAAACTCAACACACTACTAACAGAAAGGCAGCCTAACGTTAAGTAGTTTTGTACTGTACTGAAAGTGTGCAACATACTCCCTCCGCCCTGATTACTTTGACAAGTTTGACCGGCCCATGAAATAAGAAACTAAAAATTGTGGTTGAGGTTTGTACTGGGATGAGAGAATTTATAAAAACCACAAATTAATTACTAAAGTGAAAGATTTTGGGACATTAAAAAAAGTTGGCAAAGTTATAAGTCTTTAATATTACAATATTAACGACTTATCCAGTGTTTGCTTGTTTTTTCCCTTAAGATAATTTCCATGTAATTGATAGAATTCTGGTTCACAATCCATCTCTTCTGGAGAAGGGATCATATTGAACTCCATATTTGAGGATGGCATGAACAACTGGTCAGGGAGAGGCTGCAAGATTCTTCTGCACGATACTATAGAAAATGGGAAGGTCCGTCCAGTGTTTGGTACTGTTTTTGCACGTGCAACAGAACGGACACATACTTGGAATGGAATTCAGCAAGAGATAACAGGAAGAGTATTGCGAAAGCTTGCCTATGAGGTTCTTGCTACAGTTCGCTTATATGGTAACAATGTCACCAGTTCAGCTGTTCGCGCAACATTGTGGGTCCAGGTCGCTGATCTTCGTGAGGAATACATATGCATTGCCACGTATGCTCTCTCCTTTATTATGTTGTAACTTTCATTTAATGATGTTAATAAGAGTTATGGTGTTAATTGCATCATTTTTCTCAATAAGATGGGATTGATTAATCGAAATGACTTCTTATTCCTTAAAGAATTCTGGCGATGGCTTCTTATTTCTTACAGAGTTCACTCCCCTGAGTTTCTTGAGAACACCTAAGCTTTAAAAGTAATTTCCAGTATGATCTGTCTTTGAAGTCTTAACCTTATACCACCTTCTCTCATTAGTGTTTATTTTACTTACCTATGGGTAGAGTCCAAAACATGATGATAAATGCAACAACGGTGTTTCTACTCCTCTAATGGAGGATTAAAAGAAAACAGCCAGAAATGGTCAAGAGGACTTTCTCTCTTCCATGTTCTTTTATGTTAGGCTTCCTTAATTGTTATTCCTTAATTTTTCCTGGAACCGCAAATACATACGTAGTATTAACATATAGACTCCTCCCTAATTTCTGCCTTCCAAAAACTCCATCCAATCTAACTTTATGACCCTCAAGGTCTGTTTATATGTAGGGTTTGGGCAGGGTTTGGAGCATTAAATCTAAATCTTACCCCCTCCATCCCCCTATAATTGTCCCATTTTCCATTTTTGGATGTCCCCCTATTATTGTCCCATACCATATTTGGTAACATTTGTGTGGCTGTAATTTATTCTTACTTTATTCCCACTTTATGAATTCATTATCAACCACATAATTCTACTTTTCTTAAAAATCACACCACTCCCTTCCATCCCAATATTAGGGGGACGGAGGTAGTAATAAATAAAATGTTTCCAAAAAGGACTAAAAGGTGATAAATGCTATACAATCACAAATTAATTTTTACAAAATCTCAAATTATTATGTCTAAGATATAGACTAAAGCACTATGCCTCCATCTATAATCTTCCCCTTCAAACCGTCCACATCCAAAGACACCCTTAGTTCAATGCTTTCACCATTAGCATTTTGCTATACACTTCATATGCTTTTGAAGGACATAATTTTATACCATTAGAAGGTAGCTTTTTAATTCAATTACTGAAAACCTAACCTTGGACTTTTCCACAGTGTACAAACAACAGACAAGGAGTGGTCACAATTACGAGGAAAGTTTCTTCTTAATGGTTTCCCATCTAAGGTAATTATTTTTCTCGAGGGCCCACCCCCAGGCACTGACATTCTCCTCAATACCTTAACCGTGAAGCGTGCAGCTAAAGTTCTTCAATCTCCTCTGCCAGTGATCGAGGTTAGTTCGCAAAAAAACTTAGATTATTTTGTTTGTGTATTTTTTTCAAGATATAAGAGTGGTCACATGGTTAGTATTGTTAAGACTTCCATCATTGAATTATTAAAAAGAGGTGTGCAGTTTGGCTCATATGCTTTATGACCCTGCTTAGTGAATCTGATATTATTATGTATTCAGTTCATTATTACTCCAAACAAAAGATACTGCTTAATACAATCCTCTTCTCCAGAATGTGGATTTTGGTATCAATATTATCACAAACACCAACCTAAACAATGACACAAATGGGTGGTTTCCTCTTGGAAATTGCACCCTCACTGTTGCAATTGGCTCACCACTTATAATCCCTCCTGCGGCTAGAGATTCTCTTGGAGCTCACCCACAGTTAAGTGGGCGCTACCTTCTTGTGGGGAAACGTACAGAGACATGGATGGGTCCCGCACAGATCATTACACATAAAGTCAAAGTCTATTTGACTTATCAAGTTTCTGTATGGGTTAGAATTGGAAAAGCAGCCAGTGGGGCTCAGAGTGTGAATGTTGCTCTTGATGTGGACGGTCAATGGGTGAATGGGGGTCAAGTTGAGATTAATGATGATAACAAATGGCATGAAATTTGTGGATCTTTCAGGATTGAGAAAGAAGCAGCTAAGGTTAAGGTTTGTGTTCAGGGTCCTGCTCCAGGTGTTGACTTAATGGTTGCAGCACTTCAAATATTTCGAGTTGATAGAAAGGCACGGTTTGACCACTTACGAAGAGAAACCGATAAGGTAAGAAATAGACTACCTGTTTTATACATACATAGTATTATTTTATAAAGAAAATAAACGAATGGGTATGCACTTTTTAGGACCCCTAGCATATTCAAGGTTGTTTTAGTTTATGTTTTAGTTTTTTAATATATAACGGGGTTGTCTGACCTCTATAGATTATCAATTTTCATGTCATACAGATGTGCATAGTTTATATATACAATAATACACTTTTTATTGCACTTTATTGAAGTGGTTTTGGTATAATGACCTAAGAAAAAGCTAAAGAGGCCATGGCTATGCATGTCCCTTTTATACTTCATGTGTCATTGTCAGTGACACTGCAATGACACACCACAACTGCCAGTGGCACACCATCAGCATAAGTGACACCGCCTCTCATGTCGCCGTAACCTACGACAACAGTTTTTGGTGAGTTTCCTGGAGACTTTTTCCTGGCAACTTTGGAAACATTTCCAGCAGCGACAGGGGTCAGGCAGCTGGAAGCCGATTGGGAGGCTGATGGGAGCTGAGTGAGAATGATAAAATTGGGGTGTAGGATTCTTTAATCATTTTTTAAATATTCAAAATGAGTCATATTTTTGAGGGAAAACTGTCAAATAGGTCCTCAAACTTTCATAAAAAGGTCAATTAAGTCCTATAAGAGGTTCTGTCCGGCCATCGCGATTTGGGGCAGTTTCCGGTGGAATTTTGTGATGAAATTTTTTGACCATCTTATTCACCAAGTCTAGTTTACTCATATCAAATTTCAGCTAAAAATGCAATCGGGAACACATTCAAATTAATTCTTGAAGATAACTGCACATTTTTGCGTTCTCGAATTAATTTGAATGCGCTCCCGATTAAATTTTTAGCTGAAATTTAGTATGAGTAAACTAGACTTGATGAATAAAATGCTAAAAAAATTTCATCAAAAAATTCTATCGGGAACCAGCCCAATTCGCAACGACCGAACAGAGTCTCCTATAGAAGGACTTAATTGACTTTTTTATGAAAGTTCGAGGACCTATTTGACAGTTTTCCCTATTTTTGAAATATTTAAAATGAGTTATATTCTTGTGTATTTATTATTTCTTCATGAATAAGTCTTCTACGCTGCTGCTAGTTGAGACTTGAGAGAACCTCTTTTTCCTCATATATTTTTAATAATGAATTGTTTAGATAGGACAGCATGTCAGCATCTACCTTTATAATCAGATTGGTAGTTTATATCATACATGCTTCTATGGTATAGATACGCAAGCGAGATGTCATCTTGAGGATCTCAGGATCAGAAAGTTTTCATGGGACTGCTGTGAATGTAAGGCAAATCCAAAATAGCTTCCCGTTTGGTTCTTGTATTAGCAGAGGAAACATAGACAATGAAGAGTACAGAGATTTCTTTGTCAGAAATTTTAATTGGGCTGTGTTTGGGAATGAGCTGAAATGGTACTCAACAGAACCTCAACAAGGAAACATAAACTACAAAGATGCTGATGAGCTCTTGGACTTTTGCATGAGAAACAACGTTCAAGTGCGTGGCCATTGTATTTTCTGGGAGGTCGAGGATGTTGTTCAGCCATGGGTCCGTGGCCTGGACAAGAATGACCTGTCAATTGCTATAAAAGCACGCCTTACAAGCCTCCTCACGCGCTACAAGGGAAAGTTTAAACACTATGACGTGAACAATGAGATGATGCATGGCTCGTTCTATCAAGACCGGCTCGGGAAAGAAACCCTAGCCAGCATGTTCAAGGCTGCAAACCAAATTGACCCTTCTGCCCTCCTATTTGTCAATGATTATCATGTTGAGGATGGCCGTGATGCCCAGTCATGCCCGGAAAAATACATTGACCACATTCTTGAACTCCAGGAACGCGGGGCACCTGTCGGGGGCATAGGTATCCAGGGACACATAGATTGCCCGATTGGACCAATCATTCGTCACGCTCTGAATAAACTGGGAATTCTCGGACTCCCTATTTGGTTCACCGAGATAGATTTCTTTTCAAAGAATGAATATATTAGAGCTGACGATTTGGAAGTTATGCTCCGCGAATGTTACGCTCACCCTTCTGTGGAGGGGATAATGTTGTGGGGATTTTGGGAGTTATTCATGTCCAGGGAAAACTCTCATTTAGTGAACGCTGAGGGGGATCTTAATGAGGCCGGCAAAAGGTATGTTGCTCTTAAAAGAGAGTGGATGTCACATTGTCATGGTGATTTTAATCAGCAGGGAGAGTTCTTCTTTAGAGGATTTCATGGATCATATGAAGTGGAAGTCATTGGAAGGTCAAAGGGATTTACCAAGACATTTGTGGTCGACAAGGGTGAGGATGTTTTGATGATCTCCATTGATGCATAGTTCATAACTATGCTTGGGATGTACACATTTCTAAGGCCTTATTATGATCTTGTGCTTATTTTATCATCAGAAGCATACATGCTTGAATTATTACTTTTTTTCATACAAAATGTCTAGATTTTGTGTGGCAGAGTATATTTATAGTCTTATGGTGTAAAAAGCGAAATTTCAATAAAACAATGTGATATTTCAAAATAGAAATACTATGTTTCAGGGGCCGGAGGTAGAAATTATAATTTAAACATTATTTGTAATTTATAATCAAGAATCTAGAAATTATAATAATGTGAAATTTTAATAAACATACTATATTACTATTATATGAGGAAAAACACAGGAAAAGTTTTTACAATATCTACAAATGCGTATGTAAGGAAGTCTTAATTATTTAGAAAGGTGCTAGTATTTATTGCCTTACTATAGTAATGAAATTAAGAGCTTAAAACTACAGGGACATTTATGATTAGCTTATTACTTTTGAAGTATTTGTTTTTTAGACTAAACTTTAGACCAAGATGGAAGATAAATTTCTTGCATTTGTATATTGAGAAGTAAATCGCCATTTTTTAACACGGACTCTTTTATCGATGATTTTCGTGACATAGAAGAGTGACGTTATATAAATGCAAATGGAGAACCAAAAAATATTATTTGAAAGACTTAGATGTAAATGCAAATGAAGAATCTGATTAACTTGTCTTCTCGAGCAAAGTGCGAACTGCGAACTGGCGGAGGTGAAGAGTAGAGTTGCAATTTCTTTCGACTTTCAACATTCCTCTTTTGATCAGCTGCGTGAGTTGTCTGCCAAAATTCCAATTACAATTTCAATTATCATATTTACAAATTAAATTCTAATAATAGTACTAATAGGTTTTTCTTAGACCCCCAAAATCTGAGGCCGGGATTTTTTTAATGGCCACCACTGATTATATTCTGCCATTCTGGTAGCAGCTTCTGATAGAGTAAATCCCGCTCAATTCTAATAAAGTAGATTTATGTATTAATTAGATTTTATATATTTGGTTGGAATTCTCTTGTACTGTGGAAACTTTCTTTATTACTCCCTCCGTCCCTAAATTATCTTCAAACTTTCCTTTTTCGTCCGTCCCAAAATTATCTCCTCTTCCCCCTTTTAGCAAAAAATTTGTGGTTCACAACCATTCTTACACATTCTTACACATTTCTCTCTCCTCTGCACAACTCTCCACCACACAAATCCCACTATCTTAATAAATGTGCCCAGCCGAAAAGGGAGAAAGATTAGAGACAGAGGGAGTATATAGTACGTATAGAATATCTAGAGCTATCATATCAATCCAGTATGTTAGATCATTATTTTCATGGTATCAGAGCAGTATTCAAAAAAGAAAACAAAGCAGTAAGACATCTATAACATTCTTATTACCACTTATGGATGGACTCGGGCCGGGTGGCCCGACTCGGAACCGGCCCGGGGCCGGTACTGTTCCGGCCCGACCCGACCCGGTGGCCCGGTTAGTGACCGGTCCGGGTAGGCCTGATCCGTGGGTTTTCCGGTCCGGGCTCGGGTCACCCAAAACAAGGCCCGACCCGGCCGGGTCCGGGCCCGCTTCGGGCCAAATTTGTTTTTTTTTTTCATTTTTTTTTTAAATTTTCGGGTTCGGCTGGATATTTTGGGCCATTTGGGGTGGTTTGGGGGTTGGGGGTGGGAGGGGGGTTAATTAGGAAGAGGGAAAAAAAATTGATAATGGGCCCGGCCCGGATCCACCACTCCTGAACTGCCGGCCCGCCCGGGCCTAGGCCCGACCCCGACCCGGCCTGGACCCGTGTCCACCCCTATTATAAGTCTCCTGCGCTACTCTCCTTAAATGATTATGTCATTCCCAGTTACAATTGTGCCTCCTACACGGCTACACACTTGATTTCTATAATCACAATTATTTAGTGGAAGCTGCAGGATCCTCCCCATGTGGTTCAACCCTAGCCCTTTTCGCCCGACGACAACAAAGAGAATTCGTAATCTTTCTCATTAATCTTTAGCAACAGTTTAATGTATATAGATTTGGAAATTGGAAGCAATTCTCTTCCTCTTCAAAGACTTGTATATATTGCCAACGAAGTAGGAGCCTCGATATATGTTATAGGAGAACCTACCGGGCACAAGGCGAGTAGGAATTGTAAATGAAATAGTAATAAATAAATAATGATCGGCCGTAGTATTTATAGATGAAATACGTAGTAGTGATAAATAAATAATGATTGTAATATTAGAAATAGAAATTACCCAATATCTATTATGATATAAAAGCAAAAGAAAACTTGTTTGAGAAGTTCCCACCCAAATGTGTTATCAATAAAGATTTCTATTTAATTTAAAATTGCATATTCCTAATTAAATGTGTCAACCGTCTGAACGTCACATGAACCTATGAAAAGGAAGACATTTGATTGGGTGTATTAATAAATAGAATACATGGCAGGTGTATTACTACCTATTTTTCAATGATTCACCACCCGAGGATGCACAAAATCCGCTCACTGTTCCTGTATTTATTTATATAAAGCACAATCCAAATCTACGGAAGTGCAGTTCTATTTCGCTTAAGCCTCCATAATTTACAAACGATAAGAAGAGTTTTTCTAAAAAGATAATACACACAAAATTACATACTACTATGAGTAAGATTACATGTAAAACACAAATATTATTGTCATATATGATGCATATAATAAATACGGGATTCTCCAGTATCATCATTTTGGCAGGTGTGCATTAACTAATTTTCAAGACTTCAAGAACCAAATGTCAAAGACTAAAAAGTCCCGAAATCAAATGTTTCACCCTACAGATTAAAAGGTTAGCAACCAATCCCAAGTATATGCTATTTTATTGCTTTTTTTCATTTATATTCTTTGCAATAAAAATTTACTAATTGTTGCTAGAATTAATGTGCTATACTTTCCTTTTAGTTATTCCTATTTACTTGATTTTTAATTGTCTAAAATAATGATGTTTTAAAGAAAATCTTCATCTCAACAAGCGTAACGAGTGAACGGATAAAGGTTCGGGATATAAAACTTAAAATTGCATATTCCATGCTACAGAAGACGTGTTCTAAGTTTTTTGGATTGTAATTTTTTATGTTTACACGTTTTGATCTAATTTTTTCAAGGTGATTGCATTAGAATGCAGGAGTCAATAGCGGTATAGAAATATCATCTCAGGAAAGAATTGTCTATTAGAAGTTTAAACATAATATCTGTATTTGAATATTATTTATAGCTACTAATGTCGGGAACTAATGAAAGAAAATTGTACATGAACAATAATACTACGGCAATATTATTCTATTTCAATCACACATGTATATGGTAAAAAATAAGAACATAGAAAAATGTGCAGTTTAAAATATACGTACAATATATACATATTTTTACATACACACACATACATACTAATAACTTAAAGTGAATTTGTAGTGTGACTTTGAGAACACATGATTTTAATATTCAATCTATTTGTTAGGAAAATTCAAATTACCCAAAAACTAAATATAAATTTGTGGATAACTTTTAGAAAATTATGAGATTGTTCTAGACACAAAAGTCGCATGGTAGTACCAATTTTGAGAAAATACAATAAACCTGGACAGATTTAAAATTGTGAGTGCACTTAAAAAAGTAAACTATAGGTAAAACAAAGTATGCTGTTAGATCCCTTAAATGCCTTGAAAAAAGCCCAAATGATTTCAAATGAGTTTGAAATACATTCAAAATAATGAGGATGATATATCATGCTTTTTGGGTGTAGCTAGAAAAGTGCACAAAGCCGTAATTTTTTTCATTCAAAATCCACATTTAGAATTACAAAGTACAAATTAAGTTAAAATGGGACCATAAAAATGACTTTTCCAAGTAAATTGAAGTGTTAATAAAAAGTTGAAATTGATATTTAAATGTATTCATGAAAAACAATGACACTAGAATATATATATTCATGATTAATATCTCAATATATATTTAAGCATGTATTTAAGGGGTTAGGGGTCTAACTATCCAAGTATTTTGACATAATGCCCCAAAGGTGACAACTTTTTACGGAGTAGTATTTACCATATTCATTACCAAAACAAAACTCGGTAATACTGGACTACAGGGTATAGACAGAGTATAAAATTAGAGAAATTCAATTTCGAAAATAAAACTAATAATGAAAAACATCCAAAAAAAATATTTTCACCATGAACTATTAAAAAGAATGTAAAAAATTAAATTAAATTGCGAGTGGCCTAATTTCATCCACTGCGAAATTCAAATTTGAAGCAATGAGTTCAATGGCTAAAATCATACTAGAGGAACAATCTAAAAATTCAACATAAATTGTGAAAAGTAATATAGGGTAAAAAATGATATGGAGTATCATGTATGCGAAGGTAAAAACGCTAAATGAAGTTCACCTCTCCGGGAGTCTTTTTTACACTCTTTAATGACATTTTCTAGGCCTGATGGAAATGCAAGAGGAATTATCTATCCAGGTTGGCAAATTCCAATGGTTTCATTTTGGAATAAAAAGTTTGATTGACATACTAAAATAAAATATATTTTTTATTTACTAACTATTCTAGTCTGGTAAGAATTGTTTTTCGTTGGAATGGATTGGTCATACATAAAATAATTAATCTAACAAATAAGAAAGTGGTCCACTAAATCACAATAAGGTCCAACTTATTTAAAAGATCATTGCATTAGACATTGGAACAATATTTAAGTGAGAAATAATAAGAGTAATGAATAATGTAGAAAGAGTGAGAAAGAAGGTGGGAAAACTTACCAAAAATGTGAAGTGTGACTAACTTTTAAATACATTCCAAAAAGAAAAGTGTAGCAAATTTTTAAATATGAAGAGAGTATCAGATAAATAAATAGTTTAAAAACAAGAATTAACATGAATAAAGTTCCAATAATTTGAAGTATGCTTTATTCTTAAAATAATTGTTTTTGTCTTAAAAAATTAAACGTTTACGAGTTTCCAAGAGGTGTGTAAGAGCTTTATTTTTGGAAGAAAATAATGTTACCTTTATGTGAGAAAATGTATTATACTTCGTATGTGTTTTGCTCCTTTTATTAGTTAAGTTTTTTTTTGAAGGGGTTAAGTTTCTCTTAATTAGGTAGATAATTACTTGATTGGGATTTAGTGTGACTTTATTTGTTATGAAATTTGCTTCTTTTTCTCATACCACTATAGAGAATAACTTTTTCGTGTATGCAACCGTGCAACACCATTAGCGACTTTA